ATGTTGCCCCCTTTCCAAATCTTTTCAGGTTACTTGCACCCAGTTTTTTTTTTTCTTCCCTGACCCTCCTACAGCCCAGGCCACCATGGACCACTAATCTCTAGCCCAAGAGATCAGCCTTTGCAGGTATCACTCAGTGGTTCTTAACCACTGTTGTAAAGACCAAGCTTAGGCTTCATTTCCTGACTCATTAAATCAGAATACCTGGGAGAGGGGCCTAAGCATCTGTGTTTTTGAAAACTCTCCAGATGATGCTGAAATTCAGCCAGCAATGAGAAGGCTGGGAATAGGATCAAATAAGGGAGGGACAAAATGCAAGCGGGCCCCCCAAAAACAGTAATCAAGATATAACTTTAATGAAATATTTTTAAAAACCAGTATGAATGCAAAATAATCCATAAAAAAATTTCAAAATTTTAAGGAAAGATCAGTGCTTGGAGTCTGAGGTGAAAGGGAAAACTGACAATATTGATCCTGTCTTTAGGTAAAATTTTGACATTTTAAGTCATCACAGACTTCTTACACTAACAGTAATTTCTAAAAAGTACTCCATTACAATATTGATTATATTAACTCCTAAGGTTTTTGGTGTTCCTTGAAATTTTGCCATCTCTTCACCCAGGTCTGGGCCCTACAGACCACTGGCCTACTTGAATTCTCGACGTTATCTCTGACCCGTTGAGACCTGTTATCTCTGACTGCAGCAAGCATAGATACTCTCTTTTGCTCACCTACTGCCACCTGCCAAGCCAAGCTCCAGTTATGACAGTATGAGATAGTGACATAAACACAAGGAGAAGTCAGCTGCTTTGTCCAGTGTCCCAATCTCTTCCTCAGGTCCTAATCCAATTCTAGGATATACCCAAATATGAAAGAATGAATATGGGTACAGAATACCTGTACCCAAAATATGAAAGAAGAGTGGGCTGGTATGTACACTTTTTAAACTCTCTCTAGAAGACTGATTCATCATTGCTCCCCACCTCCCACATCAGAACCCTTGAGCTAGATCATAGAGTACAGGTCACGCAAAGTGTGGGCCACAGAGCAGAAGCATCAGCATCACCTGGAAGTTGATAAGAAAGTCATATACTCAGGCCCCATCATGGGGCTACTCAAACAGCACTTTGGGGATGGAGCCAGAAACCTGGGCTTAAATAAGCTCTCCAGGATTCATATGTATGCTAAAGTTTGAGAAATACTGATTGTGTAAATGATCATCTATCTACAAATGGGTTTCTGACAACCAGCAGATAGCCACCTTTTCTCTAGAAAGCTAAGATCACCTCCAGAGACAAGGGCAGGGCTTGCCTGAACTCCTCTCCTGTAGAGGCAGGCAGTCCCTGCAGGGGTGATACCATGTCAGCCATTGTGTCCCAGGGACAGAGACCTGGCCAGGCAGGTGGTTCCCTGGGATAGCCAGGAAAGGAAAAACCAGATTCCAAGGGCAAGTCGTCTGGTTGGGAATGCCAAGAGTGAGAAGCAGAAGGGCTGAATCTTTCCTAATGCTCTAGGGCTATGTCTGAGTTCACACCAAAAAACAAGTCCCAGCTAGGGTCCAAGGACATTCTTACGAAGGAGCCTGTGAAGTCTGAGGCTCATTTTTATTGATGCTAGGCCAAGTGGTACTTGAGTGAGAAGGCCTGGATAAAGGCATAATAATGTCAGAGAAAACAGGGTGAGCCTGAAATGGGTTTGCCATTTACACCACTGTAGCCATGACCTACCAGCCTTTCTTCAAAATAGATGTCTCTGGACTATCTTCAAAGAACATTTCTCTCTCAAGAAGTATTCTCATTTCTCTCAGAAGTATTCAACAGATAAAAAAGGCATAGTTGGTACTATTGTGAGAAAAATCATCTCAACCCAAGTGTAAGGTTTATTCTAACTGAACCCTATTTTTGTGCAGTTCTTTACTCCTAAGGAACATTCAGTAAGTATTATCTGATTGGGGTTTACAAATAAAAAGTCTAGCTTATGAAATCAGTTACTTTGAAAATATAATCCTGCACAAGAGCATGAAGTTGATTGAAAACAGACGGGACTGCAATGTACAGGTAGGTCTGCGATGGTGGAGTCAGACGTCCGGACCCTCCAGAGCTGAAAGAACAACACTTTTAGAGGGAAGGGCAAATGGTCTAAGATGGAGCAGAAAGGACTCCGCACTGGAAAACCTGCCTGGTGGCCATCAGCTGTAGTCTCGCTGCCTGCTCAGACTCCTCATGGCCAAAGCAGAATCATGAAATTGCGCCCCTGCTCCCCTAAATCCTTGCCATTTTACACAGCTGGGCTTTGCATATTCTATCTCCTTCTGTCAGAATATCTCCTACTTAGCAAAAGGCAGCTGTTCTTTTCTTCAAGATTGTTCTCAGATGTTCCCTCACCTCTGAAGCCCTATGTGGTCTGTCTTTCCATCAGCCCTCTACCACAATGCCTTCCCCCTCACAGCCTACACCCCCTCAATATCCATTTTTAGTGCATATCTCCCTAAAACTGTTTATAAGTCTGCTCCTCCCAAAAGTGCATGGCTTATTTGGAGTTAAAAATGAAATTGTATATACTAGGTGCCTGGAAAAATAATAAGAGTTTAACAATAATGTGCTAAAAAATGAATAGAGACCCAAATCGGAGACTCCAAATTGAATAGAAATGCTGAAGAATGGTAGGATTTGGAATGGAGGTGGAATTGTCAGAACTGAAGTTGTTCTTTGATAGAAATGCTGAAGAATGTGGTAAGATTTGGAATGGAGGTGGAATTATCAGAGCAGACAGGACTGTAGATACTCTCTCCCCTCATCTTTACTACCCAAGAGGAAGACTTGAAGTAAGGTCCTTTCAGGAGGCCTGGAAACTCACTTAAATCCTGGGAGACTGAGAGGGGAGGATGTGCTTGGTGAAGTAGGATTTTTCAAGAAGTTATTTTGGATTGGAGGCGGTGGGGTTGGGGCAGGGTAGGGAGGCAATGCCTTCACCTTAGAAAGCATTTCTCGTCCTGAAATGCTATGGAAGAAAAGGGGTGTTCCCAGTAATCTCTGTCTTCTCATCCAGGGACAGAGGTAAAGGGGGCATTCATTGTCCAGTGTGCTAAACCACACTGGGGAGCAAACCAACATGTTTGAATTAGCTACATTCTAGTCCAGCAAGCTAAAATGTAGGGGCAGAAATTCTACTCAGAGTGGAAAAAATTGCACTGGGCTGGTACCCTCCACTGCCTGTCTCAGGAATGTGCATTGGAGGCAAGGGTCAAGACTCAAATGGCAGTGGAGGCCAGGTACACGTGGTCACTGAGGGAAGTTGACTACTGGAGGGAGGCAGCATGGAGTGAGGAAAACAGGAGAAGTCCATCCTCTCGAGGACTCCCACAAACTGCTACACACAACCACTACTTGGCTTCAGATGATTACTACTTCTGTATGGGAGTATGGGTCATGATTTCCAGACCTTTCTAATTTTTAGGAGTCAGAAATCCAGATTTAGTATACAATTTCTCAGTTTTGAAAGATAGACAATAATCAAATCACACTCGAGCCTACTTTGTAAAGGCCAAACAATACATGAATACATATCTGAAAGCTGAATATGGGTTGGGGTCACTAACTTATAACTGCAGATGATTTGGAAAGAAAAGTAGATACTCAAGGAGCCCTTGATAGTTCAGAGGGTAGAATTAACTCAATGTTATCCAGCCTCACTTTCCTTTCATTCTTACACAGCCCTGAACACTCCCAAGGCTTTGATACTCCCAAAGTCCTATATATTCAAAACTCTATTCTATCATTGACATTTTCCAGAAGGAAGAACATCTAAAGTTCTTAGAACAAAGAATCAATCCATTCACCATATAGGGCTGCTTTTCATTGTCAGTTAATTAAGGTGGACACACATTAACATTTGGTCTATTCAGTTCCTGTCTGGAGAAGGGAGTTCCTACAAAAACTATAAGGATTTGCCCATGGGCTAATTTAGAGAAATAAAAATCAAGCTGAAGTACATTTTTCTAAAATGATAGGGTCTATAAGACCTTATGTCAGAGGTGGTGTACTAGAGTGGCCCTAGCCTACATGTCCACTAGATGTTTCTTCCACCTAGAAATAAATTGACATAAATCATTGCTGGGTGGTACATGTGGTTGGGGGTCCCCAGGGTGGGTGAGAGGATAGAGGCACCCAGAGCACTTGGAAAGATTTTAATAAACGGCAGAGACAGAGTTGAAAAAAAGGCTTAATCGTATGTACTTTTAAATTGATGTTCTTAGTTCAAACAGTTTAGGAAAAAAATCTTTATAAGCCTCCAAAGATTGCAGCTGAAATGGTTTAAAATCAATTTTAACTCATTTTCCATTCATATAGTATGAGAGAAGGGAGCCAATTTCATTGGCTCACTGGAGAACTAGGTTAAGGGTTTTCATATCAGCCTTCAAGGGCTGTGTCTGGACTGAGAAGGGTTTACTATCCCCAAAGTCCTATCACAGGGACTGTAAATGTCTTGCAGGAATGCTCAGGTCCTAGAGTTCCTGTAGAACTTAGACTAGAAGCAATTACAAAAGCAGGTGTTTCTGGCCCGTTTGCTTGTGATTTTAGCCTTCTCTGAGGACTGTATCATCAGCACCTTTAAAAGTAAGTCCTTCAAGGCAAGAAGATCATGAATCAGTCAGGACTGACTGGCACTAGTGAGTGAGAGATAGATAGATAGAGAGAGAGAGAGAGAGAGAGAGAGAGAGAGAGAGAGAGAGAGAGAGAGACAGAGAGAGAGAGAGAGAGAGAGACAGAGAGAGAGAGAGAGAGAGAGAGAGAGAGAGAGAGTGTGTGTGTGTGTGTGTGTGTGTGTGTGTGTGTGTGTGTGTGTGTGTGTGTGTCAGGGAGAGCGCGCGTTCTCACCAGGGGACGGTCTCTGATTTGACAGCCTCTCTGCCGCCCCTGCTGCGGCTGTGTGGTCTGTCAGCGGTTGCAAAGGGCTGCGAGGGTTCAGAGGAACTGCAGCTCTGAAGACGGAGCACTCTCAAGCACTCTGAAGACGAGCTTTCCTGCAGTGTTGGAAACTTGGGCTTATTACTGCTTCCTCTACCCGGAAACGCAGGCGTCACTACAAAAGAAAAGGTAAGAGAAGAAATTGTTGTCTTTTGGGTATGTGGGGCAGGGACAAGGGGAAATGAAGTCCTGTACGCTTCTTATTTTGCAGCAAAAGGGTCTCAACCTCTAAGAGCAAAGGAGGCAAATGCTAAATTCCTGCAAAGCTTCATCACTGAACCTCTTGGCTTTTCTCCCATACCTTTTTTCTTTATTTTACTTTTCCTAAGCATCTAAGCAGTTTCTTTTGTATTTGTTTTTCAGTTAGCAGATATTGTTTAGTTTTTCACATTGGGCACTTTTTCAAACTAGGGAGCTTTTTTTGTTCCTCTTTTCTTAAGCATTTTTTCCTACAAAGAGGAAACTGATTCCTCTTAATGTAAGCGGCTGCGCCCTCCTACAAGAGAGTTTTAAACAGGAGTTTCAGAAGTGCCTGTGAGCTCTGTTACTGTAGACACATGGGAGGTGAAGGAGAGGAAGTGAGAGTTACCTGACGGTGACTGTGACTTGATCTGAAGTGGCAACGCTGCGAGTAAATGTGGACTGTGTCCCTCTTCACAGGTGGAGAGAGCACTGTGACACAGACAGGGCTCTGGACAGAAGATGTTCTGAGAAGTGTTTCAGAGGCAATCAAGCCACTAAAGATGGAAAACGAGACAGTAAGCGAGCTGAACCAGACCCAGCTTCAGCCGAGAGCAGTGGCGGCCCTGGAATACCAAGTGGCCACCATCTTGCTGGTGCTCGTCATCTGCGGCCTGGGCATTGCGGGCAACATCATGGTGGTGCTGGTAGTGCTGAGGACCAAGCACATGAGGACCCCCACAAACTGCTACCTGGTGAGTCTGGCAGTAGCCGATCTCATGGTCCTGGTGGCCGCCGGACTCCCCAACATAACTGACAGTATCTACGGTTCCTGGGTCTATGGCTATGTTGGATGTCTCTGCATTACTTACCTCCAGTACTTGGGCATTAATGCATCCTCTTGTTCGATCACAGCCTTTACCATTGAGAGGTATATAGCAATCTGTCACCCCATCAAAGCCCAGTTTCTCTGCACATTTTCCAGAGCCAAAAAGATCATCATCTTTGTCTGGGCTTTCACATCCATTTACTGTATGCTCTGGTTCTTCTTGCTGGATCTCAATATCAGCACCTACAAAGATGCTATTGTGGTGTCCTGTGGCTACAAGATCTCCAGGAATTACTACTCACCTATTTACCTAATGGACTTTAGTGTCTTTTATGTTATGCCTATGATCCTGGCCACCGTCCTCTATGGATTCATAGCTAGGATCCTCTTCTTAAATCCCATTCCTTCAGATCCTAAAGAAAACTCTAAAACATGGAAAAATAACTCAATCCATCAGAATAAGAATTTGAATTTGAAGACCTCCAATAGATGTTTCAATAGCACAGTATCTTCAAGGAAGCAGGTAAGCAAATCCGAATCTCTAAATCCACAGAGGAAATGTGTGATAGGGTTCCTTGCAGGATGGGATCAACTTTGTCCTACTTAGCTGGTGGCAAAACCAAAATACAATTACGCAATGTTTCACAAAGTAAGCTTCTGCTTTGCATATTAAATCTATCTCTAAAGTAACTAAACATCTAAAAATAGTTGGGAAAAATTTGATAGTACATAAGCAGGTACAAGTTCAAGTACTGTTAAAATATAAGGAAATATAAACAAACAGAAACTTAGAAATCCACCTTTAAAATGTTTGTGCTTCTCTGCAAAATGTTATCAAAATATTTAGATCATTTCTGGCTTCTGCAGAAAGCAGATTTCAGAATCCTACTGTGTGACAAAGAGCAGACAAGATAGTTTGAGAAAAGATGAGTCAGAGAAATAATGAAACTTTCCTTATTGTTCCATAGTTGCTCAAGACTGAGACCCACATACCTGAAAGGGGTTCCTGGACTTACTTTTTAGCCTTAATAAGCAAAGAGTATGTTACCTCTATAACCTCCTGTGCCAGGTCCCTACAAAGTGTCTCATCATGCAAAAGCTGAAAATGCACTTTGCTCAGAAAATGGTCTAAAAGATAGGCTAAAACCAAGCTCAACAAAGAATGCTTGAATTTTCTAAAATGTCTATTTTTCCCAGTAAACATAACTAAAACCCCTTTATGCTTTCAGATCACCTGAAATTCCATGGGGCTACAGTTGAATAATGGTTTTACTAGTGAATGAAGTGCAAATATATATCTACATTTACAAAATTGTTCAAAATTACTCATGAAATTAGCTTTCAGTTCCTTTTCCTTCTTTGTTCAACAGAATAAACAGATAATTAACATTTACTTTCCTAACTAAAAAAGAAAAGTTGAAATCACCAATACTGGCTCTTTGAAATGGTTTGAATTCTGTCTTTTTTTTCCTGCAAAGAATACAGTTCTTCTGGTGTGTGTAGATAGAAACCGAATGTACATTTTAAAGTATGCATATGGACTATCCCTAGACTAGAGGGCTTCCTAAACTCCAGATTAGCTGCTGTATGAAAAATTATAATTGGACATATGAGCACACAGTGAAATAGGCTACTAGTAACTATAAGGGTTTCAAATATGCATGAAACGAATAATAAACTCTAAAAATAAATGTATATAGTATTTTAAATGATATTGTGATACTTGATTTTTATAACATTTACTATTAAAGATACCTAATGACAGGAAGGGAAGGTCTAATCAGCTATTACTAACTCTCAGATTTCTATTGCTTTGGGTCTAGCAACATATTACCTAATACAAGGCATTTTTGTCCATCTTTTCCTAAAAGTTGTTTAGGGGAAATTTAGAGAGATCTGCTGACCATCTGCCAAGACAAACAATAACAAAGACAGTAAGAGTAAATAATATGTACCTCTCAATTAACGATTAAACATGGGTTAATGTCTACAGCAGAGAAGGTCAGTGAGAAAATTAATTCATTAGACATCATTTTATATTCTTGTTATAAATTCTAAAAAACTGTTTGTTCTAATGCCCTTCTTTTCAATTATAGTCATTAGTACCTATCAGCATTAATAATGTGCTTTAAATTGCTAATTATGTTACATGGTCCCACTCCTATTTCAAAGCTGTTAACAGATAGGCTGTCTTTATAGAAGCTGTGTGATAGAAGAAAAAAGCCAAAGATTTTCCTCTAAAAAATTCTGGGCTTAATTGCCAGGTTTCTAACCAAACTGTGTGACCTTGGATAAACAGAACCCTCTTAGCCTCAGTTTCCTCATCTAAAAAATGAGGACAACTAGCAACATCCAGGGTTGGCATGAGAGTACACAGAAATGTCTTATGTGAGACACTTAAAATGAAGTGGTGATTAACACCTGAGAGTTAGTCTTCCTCTTAGTTTTTTAATACATTGGCAACTGTAAGGGAAATACAGATGTGTTCTTTAAATTATTTGTTCATCATTTAAACAAAGATCATCTGTGGAACAGGTGTGTATATGACACAGTAACTTCTCTAAGGAGCTTTTTAATGATGAGGGCATTTGGAAATGTATTCTGATAGTGTGGTGCTGCCACAATGACATCACTAGCAGCTGGCATTCAGGAGTGAGGGGCGCCAGGTGTCCTGGAATGAGCAAGACAGTTCTGCACAGTGAAGAAATGCCCTGTTACTAATGCCAATAATGCCCTTATAGAGAAACACATAATGACATTTAATCAATAGAACTGCATTTAAGTAATATGTTGTGTTATTCAATCTTGATTATAGACAGGATGTGAGGTCAGAGAAAAGGAAGGAAATGTTGGGCCTAGAGGGATCAGAGAAGGCTTTATGGAAGAGGTGCCATTTTAGAAGGCTCTGGAAGGATAGGGACCATTTGGAAAGTAAAAGTGAAGAAGGACAGCACTCTCCACAGAAAGGACATGGCTGGAAGGAGAACGTTTCAGCTTTGGAGAGGGGCAAGGCAGGGCACATGCAATAGGGAATTTTATGGGATGGAGTGACTTGGTTGACTAAAATGAATGATGTCTTTGGGGGAGCAGTTAAAAATAAGATTTGGTTGATAGAAGTGTGTGTATTTGTGTGTGTGTGTGTGTGTGTGTGTGTGTGTGTGTGTGTGTAAGAGATAGAACAAGCAAGCTATGAAGGATCCCAAGTAGAGGCAGAGAGAGAAATGTGAGCTGGGTGCAGAGGTGCAGAGAATGAGTGGGGAGTGGGAGCAGCGAGAGGGAAGTGGTGTGTGCAGTGATGAATCTGACAGCTGTGGACATGGCAGATTCAGAGCCAGAGACTGGTAACAGAAAGACCACTTTGGAAGTTGATGGTAGTGATTCTCTTCTGGAAGAATTTAAAGTAAGGTGTGAATCAGAGAGATGTTTCAAAGAAAGACAGCGCAAGATGTAAATGTATTAGATGCAAATGAAGAAAGGACAATTCAGTGTGGCACCCGTGTTCTGAGACTGGAAGAATTGAATGAGAATGAGTGAGTGGAAATGAGAGCCAGGAGGGGAGCAAATTTTGTCCAAAATCAGTGACCTAGCTTTTTCCTCATTTAAAATTGTTCTTTTCTTAAATCGTCAAAAGGTTCAAACCACTACTTCCTATAACCCGAGGACTTTTATTTTAATGTTTTTCCTGTGTTTTTTTTCTTTCAGGCAAGTTAATTTACATTTTAATAAATATTCTGCCTGGGCCAAGACCTTCTAACCAAGTTATTAAAGTCAAATATGGATAGCCTAAAAGAACTACATTTAAAAAAAGAAACAAAAGAGCACATTTATATGTAAGGGAAATATGAGTTTTATTTATTTGTTTTTGATTTATACCCCTCATGCAGAAAATCCAGGCCAGAGTATTTTTTTCCGTGATTCAGAAATTCAATTATATTTTAGGAAACCAACTGTCTATTTAGTAAATTCAGTGAAATAAATTACTCAAAATAATGGCTTGGAATTGTGTAGACAAAAGAATTGATGATCGACTACATCTTTGGCTTTACATTGGTTGTTTTGATGTAGAAAATATATGGTTTAAATGATCACTTTTGTCCCATTTCAGCTCTCTACGTAATGCCAAAAGATTCTTTCAGTTCAGCCAATTCAGGTGTTCAGTATTATGTAGATAAATTATCTCTATTATTGACTATATATTTCAAAGGAATTAATGAGATCTTTTGATACTTCAGAGACAGAAAAACATCTTGATAAAAGATGATACTATGAATAAATATATTCAATGAAATATTTGCTTTCCATAGGATGCAGGGGTGTGCAGAATGTTTCTTAAATCAAGCTACCGGTTTTATTTTCCATTGAATAACTCTAATGTAGTTTTCTTCTCTTACAGTATAACTTGGGGGGAAAGTGTGTCACATAGTCCAAATTTATGGCAAAATTTCATTATGGGTTTTATTTGTTTAAGCTAGCCTTTAAAATACTAAACAGTCTTTGTTTCCATAAATTTCTTAAAAGCCTTCTATCTTACTAGAGAATGTTGGTGGCCCAAGAAACAAAAGCAACTTCCCTTTTTAAAGCACTACATGCCTTTGCTTGTTGCTGTTGTGTCGTTACTGATGATCATATAAGAGCGATCAAGTGTCCTCTTGAAAACACAGAAAACTAGGAGTAAGAAAAAAGATGTACCTTACCCCATCTCTCAAAACCACTATTATTAACATTTTGTTATATTTTTCTTCTGACATTTTTCACTTACTTTTTAAATGTAATCAGTCAAAATATGTATATAATTTTATATCCTGCTTTTCCATAAAATATTGAAATTAATATTCTCAAGGAGAAGAGCAGAATAAAAGAAAATGGATAGGATGGTGACTAAGTTTTTCTCAGACTCAGTTTTCTCATCAATAAAATGGGAGTAACAGTTATCCATAGAGTTCTTCAAATTCAATGAGATGCACCGGTCAAAGTTCATCTTTGGTGTCCTCCCACCTACCCTGTCAGCTACCCCTCCCTCACTCCTGCTCTCAGGGATCTGCACCCCACGGGCAGCCTCTGAGCCACTGTGCAGCCCTCTCCAGCAGTGTGAAGCTCTTGCAGACAGTGAAGAAATCAGATGAAGGGTAGGCGTGTCCTTTCTTTTCCCCTGCCTTCCCCCAAATCCTGCCTGTGGTGCTGCTTACATTTTTTTTTCTTTTTTTACTTTTATTTATTTATTTTATTTTATTTTATTTATTTATTTTTTTTGAGAGGGCCTCTCTCATATTTATTGATCA